CAACATGGCATCAAACATTGCCACGCCTGCACGAAAGCCCAATTTGTTGTTGATCAAGGCCCTACATGGTTCTCCTGGTTCTCCTGGTGCCCAAGGTCCCAAGGTGATGTTCTTGAACACGTGCTGTATACTATTGTATACTCATTGGTTATAGAGCAGAGTGTGTTTGGATGAACCTGGGAGTGAAACCAGAGATGACCGATGAAACGGGAAGACGTTTTTTCAAGCAGTCCGTGAAAAACATATGCCGATTGAAACGAGTTCACCGTTCAACGACGAGTTTTTTCCCGATTTTGAGGGTGAGAATTGGTTCGAGCCATGTTGAGAGAAGCGACGGTCAGGTGAATGTTTTCCATACAGTTGCAACTCGGCAGATCTTCAGAAAAGCATGGACATTCAAGGGATATCAATGGAGCTTGTGTCGTGTTTCAACCCGTGTACTATTGGAGGGTTTTCAAGTGTTTTTTTCCTTGCTCCAGTGCTGCGTTTGAGATGATTGTATGGTAGATAGGTATTGTATTGAACTTATTTGACAGTTAGAACGAAAATGCGGACGGTTTATGTAGTGTAAATCTAGAGAGGCATTTGGACGTAGTGTAGGCACTGAGAGATGACTCCACTAGCGTAGAAAACTCTTAACATCTTGATAAATTGCCAACAGTGAGAGATTATCTTCTGTATGGTGTTGTGCAGACCAGCAGCACCAGATCATCAGATTTAGGGGCCTCCGGATCCATAGGTGTGGAGAGTCATCATTTGTGGGATTGGAGGGATACCTTCTATACATATATAATTGTGTCATATTGTGTCCATGTTTCTCAGTGGAAATGCAAAGGTACTCAGTCATTGTACTATGTAGATTGAATCCCAGCAAGCCATCCAAGAATTGAAGTGCGCAACCCTGCTGCCTGCTGACACTCTGTCAGCACAGCCAGCACTGCAGACGCTCCAGATGCCAAGCCCAGGAGATGTTGCTGAAGATGAGCCCTTGCATCAGGGAGAAGCTCAGATCATGCTAGGAACGGATACAGCAATTCTTAAAGGATAGCTGTTGAGGTGTTGAAGAAGGCATAGCAAAACATGGTGGCTCGATTTCTTTTCCATGTACAGTACAGTATATAAAAAATGGCGAGGAGACGCCACTCAAATGTCCATGATTTGTCAGGCCTCAGACTGACTCTTGGGGTGTCGAATTGAGTTCCTGCAGCCACCGGGTTTTAGGCGTCCAATAATACCTGAGATGCTTCTCTTCTCCAGATTCTTTTGGAGTGTCTCTATTCAATGCACACCCATACAGGCGAAAAGGCTGCTGCGTAGAATCAATCAACATCCAACATGGGGGGGCGATTCGCATCAACTCTCCAACAGTGCAAACCCGGGCAAAGCTCGAGCAGCAGAGTTGCGGTCCCCTGAATCAATTGTTGTTGTTCTATGCAGTCATTTTTCTAGTTTTGCCTTTTCAGTTTTCATTACAGTATCAATTATCAGGAGCCATACAACCAATCTCTTGATACCTAATTCAGAGGTCCATGTGTCTTGTGGTCCTTGTGATGTGACCACCAACGTTTCAATCAAGGAACGTCCGTAGTGGCCAGCTGGAACTTCAAGCCGCGGTCTACGATGCTGAGAGCCGGCAGGCCGATCAGCCGTGTTTGGACTGTTGAGAAGCAACCGTCGGAGCTTGGCTTGGCGAACTGAGAAGGTGAGTAGACAGGTAGTTTGGCTTACTGTACCCCAACAGATTGACACGGATTGACATGGAACCTAATAATTAGGAATGGCCTCCAACCCAATAGTGATGGCCTCCAACCTAGAAGCGATGGCCTCCAACCTAATATATATATATTTATAGTAAAAATAAGAGCGATTGCCTCCAACCTAATAGCGATGGCCTCCAACCTAATAGCTATGGCCTCCAACCTAATAGCGATGGCCTCCAACCTAACAGCGATGACCTCCAACCAAATAGCGATGGCCTCCAACCAAATATCGATGGCCTCCAACCTAACAGCGATGGCCTCCAACCATCTCCAACCTAATTGCGATGGCCTCCAACCTAATAGCGATGGCCTCCAACCTAATAGCTATGGCCTCCAACCTAATAGCGATGGCCTCCAACCTAATAGCTATGCCTCCAACCTAACAGCGATGGCCTCCAACCTAATAGCAAGGGCGATGGCCTGCAACCTAACAGCGATGTCCTCCAACTTAATAGCGATGGCCTCCAACCTAATAGCGATGGCCTCCAACCTTAACAGCGATGGCCTCCAACCCAGAAGCGATGGCCTCCAACCCAAGAGATTGACATGGAACATGAAATACGACTTAGTGGAAACTCCGAGGGCAGAATCCTTTGAGAGGTCTATTCTCAGGTTCTATTTTTGCCAAAAAAGAGTCCACATGAATATGGGTGACCTGACAGCTGCAAATGGTCCCGCAAACCAGGATGCAGATGCCCAAATACCACCCACCTTTGTTTTGCGTGTTTCAGTTTTTCTAGATACAGCGCCGACAAGTGATAGAACATTGGAGAGGACAATGGCCTTGTTGACCTCAATCCTCTTGACCAAAGCGTTCCCCTCACTGCCCAAATACTGCGTCGATAAGCCTGCTTCCTTGGAATCCAACTAAGAGGGGACGATACATCAGAGCCATGTTTGCACACCACCTTGGAAAACGGAACGATTGCAATTGCAATCCATTGCACTGGTTTCTTTCTATTTTCCTGATTTGCTAATGTGTTTGCCGAACATGACCTTCAGAGAAATCTGTTACTGTTACTACATGTTACTACCGTAGCAGGATGTAGTATGATGTAGCAATACGTAGCATAGGCTATGTACACCTAGAGCGTGTTTGTAATTTGATAGCGACCAGGTGGAGTTCTTGGGAAGCTCCAAGAAGCAAGCAGAGCTCTTGGCCGACGAGTACGACTCCTGGGAGTGTCCTGGACCACCGTGTCGGTGTCGGTGTTCCATGGATTTGCTATTCAGTTTCAGTGTGAGCGGGATGGGAAGAATCTGCGTGCTGGGTAGGTAGAGGTGATTCGTGAAGAAGACAGAGATGCGGAAGATTGCGGGAGATGCTGAAGGTGAAGAGTAATAATAAGAAACATACTTTGATCATTTTGAGTGCCCACTAGGAGCAAGTGGGTGTAGATGTGGCACATGAGGGGCAACTCTGAAACTCTCGTCTAGGTCAGTGGCTTCTTGTGCAGTTTGGGAGGTATGGATATCTCATCTCAGGACTCCAACGAACAAATGCTCAAAATGAGTGTGGGTCAAACAACCGTGAAAGTTTTGCGGTGGACCATCTGATCGTCGTTTTGAGGTCTAACCTGGTGTCAACCTCAGGGTGACATGACTAGCTGGCCCAATCCTGGCCATTGTCATCCAAAAACACCAATGTGCTTGCAGCATCTGGCAGCCGACTCTGACACGGAATTCAGATTTCTGCCAAAAAGGCGGTCTCCTTGGCACGGGGCCCTTGGCCCTTTTCTCATTTGTCCCCAATTTTCTGTCGCCTTCAGAGCCCAGAGCCAAGGCCCGACCTCTCTCGCAGCGGGTTCAGCGGCCTCTCCGTGGACTCCATCGACCGCGACAGCTCCGCACCACGGGCCTCATCCCAGAGGTTGTTGGCCAAGCTGCGGGAAGGCAACCAACGCTTCCTGGTGACCTGGCGTTGCCATCGATGTGATTCGTGAGATGGTGAGGTGTTTGGGATTCAGAGTGATTCATGTTCTCCGTAGTTTTAGTCCGAAGTTGGCTGGTCAGTCGTGGTGGTTTTCATCGCTGTCACCATGCTGAGCCGAGCTCGGCACCGGTGCCGCACGAGCTTCCGATGTTTGGAAAGCGGTTGCCGCAGGTCACGGTGACCCTTTCAACCCTTTCCTAGAAGGCCATGTGTCACGAGAGATTGTCAAACTATGAAGAAACCTCATGAAATGTCTTTGGGCGTCATGAAAATAGAGGCATGCAGACATGCAGAGTATATGTATATATATATATGTTCGTTTGCATCTTTTTCACCAACATGAATTTCACGGTTCTGCTCGCATGAACTGGACAATGGGTGCCGGTGGATGTTGGTGCTACATGTTGCAGATCTGCAACTCAGGGTGGCGCAACCTGGAACAAGGCATGGCCGCAAAACAGGGCTCATGCTCAATAAAGGAAAGACAGTTGCATGACCCATGAACAACAGAGTTCTCGGTCAACAAGCGGTATGTAGCGGTGAGTTAGTGAGCTTTATGTCTCCGGCGTACGGTACTGTATACTGCAAGACATGTCAGCTGAACCTTGTGTTGGCATCGTGAGAACCGCTCGCAAGAGCTTAAGACAGTTGTGAGTACAGCAGACAAAACAATCTTTTGAGCACAGCAGCGATGGCCTCCCGCCTACTAGCTTCTTGCTCCTACTAGCGATGCCAGGAGCCCCTAGTAGCTTCTTGTTGCTAGTAGTAAGGCCGGGAGCCCCTAGTAGCGTCATTGCTCCTACTAGCGATGCCAGGAGCCCCGGGTAGCTTCTTGTTCCTAGTAATGCCAGGAGCTACGTTCGTAGCTTCTTCACACAAAACACTTATGCTCACTATGGATTCACATGATCCACACGATGCTTGATGGGATGACCGAACACATTCGCATGCGTTCGGTTGAACACTCACAGAAATCCTGGCTCTGAATTATATAACTGATTGATCCCCTTGTGCTCTTGGTCAACCGATTTCATGCATGAACTTTCCCCTACATCCAAATGCATACTAAGAACTTGCTCAACTGCCCGGCATCGATATGCCCCCTGCAGTCATTCATCCCTTGAGCCTTGAGCCATTCATCCGAAGAATCCAACAAAAACGAGGAGATCTCAAGGAATCACGTTTTCTGGTTACTTCACGTTTTTCAGGATGTACTTACTGTGCATGATTCCAAATAAAATACTCACGGGTTCATTTCAGACTTGTTCTCTTTGCTCGTTCTTCTACTTCTCACGAGCTCGCAGGCCATGCAACGCTGTGCCGTGCCCATCGGTGCTGTGCTGGCTTGCGGGGATATGGGGGCGCCAGTGGATGTGATCTTCGATGTGGAGCCTGGAGAGATCTTTGTGATGAGAAATGCCACTCAGAGTGGTACAAACGCTTTCGCTTTTGGGCGGACCGGTGGATATTAAGGAGACCCTTTCAGTGACTAGTTGAAGTTTGGACGCTTCCCAGTGGGTTGTGGTTGTGGGTTGTGGATTTGGTCAGTAGCCACGTGCAGACATCCACCATGATAGTTTGGTTCCCGTGGTGGTTTGGGAGGCCTGCAAGACAGGTACTCATAGGGGGAAGGATCAGGATTGAGGCCACCATGAAGTCATTCGAAAAGCCTGGAAATCGTGGATATGGCACTGGGTGAAGAGGACTTCACGTCTACAGTGAAGCTATGGCTATGGAAGGTTCAGGTTACGCGCTGTTTGAGAATACCTACTCGATGGCTGCAAGTTAATTTACCCTCGACCTACAGTGTAACATGTTAGACTCCCCAAACAACTCCTTGGCTTGTCGGGGCATTTGGGTTGTTTTTGTTTGGGATGCAAAGGTGTCCAAATCATCCCGGACAGGCGATTCACCTGTTCTTGAGCAAGATTATTTCCTATAATGTACTGTAATTGAATCAAAGCTTCAAGATGTAGGGCTGAGGGGAGGCTAGCTCATATATAGGCATAGGAGTATGATTCTGATCCACGTAATATACTGTGAGTGTTTTCAGAGAAATGGATCCAACATTGAGACCAAAGATACCAAACCTTTAGACACGGGACACGGGTACTTTCATCTTGAAACACTATCCTGTAGAACATATATAGATTTACCTTGACACTGTGTGGATCGCCAACCCTCAACTGTCCACGGCATGCCGTGGGGACGATGCGTTTGTGTGGGAACAAGGCGTCTATTTCTTTTTGCGCGGACACCATCGGACATGTTCTTGGAAGGCAAATGACATCTCAAAAGCCCGGCATGGGTAAACACCTATCCACGTTATACACGGTCGGTTTTTCTTTGTTTCGCTGACCCACTTAAGTCCGTTCAAGACGGTCGATTTTGGCTGAGGCTGGAAACACCTGTACCCACTCGGCTGGGAGCATCATGGGCTCCTTCGAGTTTTCAGTGGAGAAGTTCAATGTTCCGCTCATCCTCATCCTTGGGCACACGCGCCTTGATAGCGAGCTTGGCTGCCTTTGCTTGTTGGATGATTTTATGAGTGATTCGTTCAAACATTATCAGGTGAAATTCATTCGATCATGCAATCGTCAGATGAAGGCCCGTAGAGACTTGCTCATAGCTGAACCTCAAATGCTTGGTACCCTCAAACAGATTGCCTCTAGAGATTTGCTGTGAACAAGTGGGTAACCCTCTTAGCAATGCGCGCGGATTGCCATCAACTGTCTTAAGCCATTGGATAGCCTAAGCATGCTTGTGAAGAGGCCAAGTGAAGCCCTTGATATTAGTCCGGTTTCAATGAGAAATCAGACAACCAATTACTGCATACACCATAAATTTGATCTCAGAAACTTGGTGCCCAGCCGCTGCAAAAGCATGTGGTTTCGGCTTCACACGGAAGCCCAAAGGGGGAGATGTTCCAGATTCTTTCCGGCGAAATGCCATTGTTTCACCTGAACAGTTGTTCCACCCCTTCAGACTGAGATGAAACATGAATCTTCATCCAGACAGACGAGGTCGGTCTGTGAAACGGATGGTCGGTCTGCCCCAGGCCTTGCGCTGCGCTGGCAGGTGCTGTGGAAGTTCCACGGCAATCGGGTGAGACCACGGAGAGCAACGGCGAAAGAGACATGTTGAGTTCCAAGGTCACTATGGGGGCCTTACATTCCGCCTACCGATGATGAATTCTTCATGAAAGTAAACAAAGCAATGAACTAAAACTATAACTATAATTATACATGAAAGTATCAGGCCTTGTCGCTCTCTCACCTAGAAATGAAAGGTCGCAAGATGTTGCCAGCTGTCAGTGTTGAAACATGCTGAAACTGCTGGGCAAGTATATAATCATGTAGACTAGACAATCCCGAAAGCGATGTTCATGCAACGAGAGGATGATGTGTCAAAAACATGCTTTAACCTTCAGGAGCTTCATCACTTGTTTGGAGGTCTTAAAGCATGCTGGTCCGGAGGGCATAGTCTGAAGCGATTGCTATGAAACTACGATCGATCTTTCTCCAGAGGTTGCAAGGACAAATCCTCAAACCTTGTGGATTTGGACATCATGAGTCCCTTCCCGGTACTTTCAAGGGTTTACCCTCCAACTCAGTCACATGGAGGTAGAATATCGACCCTTGGATGACTCTTCATTTTCCTGTACGTTCCTTTACGACTCTTAGTGCTTTCCCCTTCTATGTGTTGGAGTCGCTCCCAGGCGCACCGGGACGACGAGGATCGCCCATCGCCAGTGCTCCTGGAGAGTTTGGTGGCTGCTGCCGCACAAGCGGAGCAGCAATTGGGAGAAGGCGGGACTGCACCGGACACGCACAGGTGGAACTTGCTGTGAAAAAACATGGGCGGGTACTCAAAACATAGACTCCAAACCCAAGAGCTCAAGCAAACCCTAGTAGGCTTTGGGAGGGTTCTCCTGGGTCAGGGTGATGCCCGTTATACTCACGCATTGAAACAATGATGATGCCTATAGTTTTGCTACGGTAGCTTCAATCAACAGAACTTGACCTTTGACTGGTCTTTATTTTAAGTTTCTTGTGGTCATGCAAGATTTCATGGGGTCCAATTAATTGATTAACAACATGATAATTTGGAGTCAGCCATAGCTCCAACTACCATACACGGCTGGAGCAATAAGGATGCAATAGGGCCTAGGATCATTCCACACGCCAGCTTTGATGGCAAAGATGACCGTCTTGGAGACTATCATGCACAGTAGATATATTTCAATGCTCAGCGGATCGACTCTGTGACCGCGACGCAGCCACGAAGCGGAGACTTGGGAGGTGCCAGCAATTCTCAATTGGTCAGGAGAGCAGCGTGACTCGGCCGCAGGTGCGACGCTGTGATTTGGCCATGCTGAAAACACCCGTAGCAGTGAGGGCGAATGCAAGAGATGTGATGAGAAGTGTGGAGACGAAGCAACCTTTTGATAGGACGGTTAGGACGGTTAGGAATGAGGCGAACATGTTGACAACTTCCACACCGCAAAAATCTTGCGGGCGTCTCAGGAAGTTGAACGTCTTCCACACCATGGAGACGATTCTTTCACAAAGATCCTTGGATATTTATTCGGTTCGTGTCACTGAAACGGATTTACGCGTGCGAGAATGGACGGAGCTCACGAGAAAGGGCTCCTCAGAAGTGACTAGTGGCTTCACCCCTTGGTCTCAGAACCGGGTCCCTAGTGACTAGTGGGCTCTTACCCAAGGTTGGCACCGACAAATGGTATGTTTCAATTCGTGGTGTGAAAAAGCACAGTGAAGTGAGATGAAGCGGGTATACGGTGTATATATACATAATAGTGGTCCCCAAATAGATAGACACGGTTTACATATTGAAAGGGATTCTACTTTTCTATCTATTTGGGGTATGCTTCCTATCACTTGTGAACAGTATTGAGTCGACTCGCTCAAGCAGCTTTTTGGGATCGAGAGTTTATGGTGCCTTGGTGGTTGCCCGATTTCCTCAGGGAAGTCCGGTATTTCACCAGTTCACCGGTTTCTTGCCCTTGGGGAGCCATAGGCCTGTGCTTCATCCTCGCCTGCATTTGGTCCCTCATTGCTGGCTTCATTCTGGGCGCTCTAGTCTTCTCGGTGTCGTGTCGTCGGGCTGTGCTTAGCCTCCTGCGTGTGGTGGCAGCTGCTGTGATTTCTCACCATTTGCTGGTTCCAGAGACTGACAGAAGGGGCAGGCTTGCGCAGTATAGGCAGGGCAGTTGATACCGACACGCGTCCTCTGGCGTCGTCCCTGAGGGTTCACCGGCCTTTCTGGCGTGGCTTGAGATTTCCTCTGGGCTGCTCGACATTGCACGTGCAGCACAACATCCAGGGGTTTTAGCTGCTCCAGATTCTCCAGCAAGAGTTGGCACCTTCCAAGAACACCGTCTTCATTGCGTTCAGGTGGATCGACTAGTGAGTCTTGTTGGGCTTCATCCTGCACTGCCTACGTGCAGGGTGCGAAACTGCTTGACGGCAGTTTCCACACAGACAGCGTCAGTCACGCGGGAGGCAGAGTGCTACCTCGCCACGGCTCAGCGAAGATGGCCGCCGCCGCTGTAGGAGCGGCCCTCACCGAGGAGTCGGTGAGGCAGGCAGTGGAAGCTGCCGCAGCTGCCAGAGCTCTCTCTTCAAGGTTCTTGGTTTTGGCAGAGGAGCTGGCAGATGGGGTGAATTTGATTTGCGGCTTTCTGGTTTGTGTACGGGCTGGCGGCTTTATGGTGGTTTTCCCTCCAGACGAAGTGATCAACCAATGTTTGGACAATCTCAGTTTAGAACATGGCTATCCAACTCCCTTGCTCCATGCTGGACAGGTGGCGGTCGAGACTACCCGGGGCCGTCGAGTAGGGGAAGCAGTTGTTCAGCTGGCAGACCTCAGTTGGGATTACGTGCAACATTTTGTTTCTCTGGGTCGCATTACTGCCGCTCAGCGAACCAAGATTTTGTCATTCAGCCTAGAAGCCACAGAGGTAAGACCGGTCAAAGCCATCAGTGCACGAGCTAGCCAACATATGGATAGAAAGCATGGATCCAGATACAGCCCAAGAATATGTGACAGGAGAAGAATGTGCAGATCCTGGAGAACCAGAACCAGGATCATCCATAGCCGAGGGTCAAGCTCCAGGGGTCTCCCACGAGACTCACCAGAAGCTCCAAGCCCGGGTTGCAGAGCTCGAAGCGGCTTTGCTGCTGCAGCGGCAGCCTCAACAGGTTCCAGGATTGCTTCAAGTCGCTCCCACCCCCAAGGCGCCACCGTTGTTCAACCGAGATGCCGGAGGCGGGGCCATTTCAGCACAGGTCAGGAGTGGGGACGATTGCAAATGCTGGCGGGGACTCCACCGCCCAGGGTGGGGACTGCGGAGAGACGTCGGCAGCAGTCACTGCAGAATCTCCCAGTTCCTCAAGATCATACTCTGTTGGACTTGGAACGAGAAGCCACGGAGCAAGAGCCGACCATGCCAGATCCAGTCGATGTTTTGGGTCAGAATGGAGATCCGGTCCACCGGTTGCTAGCTTTTCAGATGCAACAAAACCAAGCTTTGCTGCAGAAGTTGGTAGGACAGAAAGTTTCAGACCCAGTTCTGGACATCCTAAGCTCAGGAGGCGCGGACAGCGCATCAGGCAGTTCATCAACAGGTGTGCAAGGCTGTCTGGCTCGCGAAGCTTTCCTGCAATCGGTAGCCAAGTTGCCAGCCGTGGCAAATGCAACTCGAATGAATGCCTTGAGAGAACTGGGGATGGATCCTCAGAAAGAAGATGGATCATTGATTCGCAAGTACATGGAAAGAAGGATGGTGCTTGCCGACCATCGCCTGCTGACCTATTTCACTGCCATGATTGCCGAGAGTTGGGCAATCGGGTTCGAAACTGGGAACGTGGAGACGCTGGAGGTTCTGTCCCGGATGCTCTATTTTGTAGAACAATGCGCCATAGACGGCGGTCGGCCTCAGATGGGTTGGCTCCTTACAGGGTGGCAAGAGCCGCCCTTCCATCTTCTGACAAGTTCCAAGAGAATGCCCTGTCTTCAGCCGTATGCACGGTTATGCCACCCGGCTTGGGTGTCAGCCAACATCGCTTACCTCAAAGATATGGACTATCTAGAAAGCAGATTGTCAACTTTGGGGTTGCAGAAGACCAACAAGGTCAAGACCGGCGATGCAGATCAGGTACCAACGACTCAGCCAAAGAACAAGCCCAAGAAGCCAAAGGGTCAGGGGAAGGGGTCCAATGCAGAAGGGACCGCAGCAGCATCAGTTTAGCTCCAGGAGTCGCTCATGTCGAGCAGCCCTTCGAACTGCCAGCACAGAGTTTGAAGTCGTGTGATGACCCGGGTGCCTTGGATTTAGTTGACGAGTTATCTAGTTTCAACATAGATCATGATGTTCCTGACCCTAGATCCAAACAAGTATTTTCAGGTGTTAATTTGATGCATTCTTTTTGCAAGAGCGCCGTTTCTGCGCCCACTGCTCTAGGCTCATTCATTCGGCAGAGTCTTAAGCTAGCCGACCATGCCTGCACCATGGAAAAAGCCCAGCCGGGCTTTATGGCCTGTCCCCCCCAGGTGGAGTTGGACAGCTGCACGAAATCTGAATCCGCGCAGGCGTCGTAGATTGCGCTACTTTGAGACTCGACATAAATTGCTTCAGGTTGTCATTTGTTCCATGAACTGGCAAGTGTTAGGCTATAAGTCGAGTCCACCCCTTTGTGCACAACTAGGCGCACCAGTCCATCCCAACCAGCATTCGATTCTAGAACGAGTTGAAGCTATGTTGGACCATTTCCTTCACATGCCGAAGTTTGAAGGATCCGATTTGGGCCGTGCTCAGGGGAAATTTTCGGATTTAATTTTGCATTCACAGAAACTGCCTCGGTGTAAGCTGAGGATTGAGGACCTTCATCAATTAGCATCATGCATTCACAGTGACTTAGATCCGTACGGTAAGCATTTTGCCTTCAAACCAGAGAGTGATGTTCAGCCCGAGTCGCATTGCCGTGAGCCCTTTGCTCAGCCGAACGCGCCGCCGCCCGGTGGTACAGGATCGCTGCCAGTGATCTCCAGCCGTGTGAAGTGGAAAAACCTGCCCAGCTTCCACGCCGAAGATTTCCTGTCAGACCCAGTTGTAAAGTCAACGTACGTTGAACCTGAAACTCTTCGTAAAGACCGTAGTGAATGGCCGCCCATGCATCCAGCCAGGGTCCGGTGTCCCAGGGTTGAACTTTTAGATGTAGCAGCCAGATGGGATGAACTTGGTGCTCGTATGCTGTTGCCAGCTAGTGAAAAGGATTTTGATGAAGCGGTAGGATTGTTCTGCGTGCCTAAAGACGAGGATTTCGACAGGCTCATCATTAATCCTGTCACCATTAACAGTCGTACGCACACCATCACCAAGTCCACTGAAGAGCTTGCCCCGGGGTGTATGTTAGGTCTGCTTCATCTTGAAGATCACCAAGCTTTTAGGTTCTCAGCTGATGATTTGACCGATTACTACTACACGTTTGTTGTTTCAGCCGCCCGAGCCAAACGGAATGCATTGCGTGTGGTTTTTTAAGTCTTCGGAAGTCAAACATTTCAAATGTTACCATCCTTCCTTTGAGGGTCAAGATCTTCTCACCTGTCTTAAAACCCTTGCAATGGGAGACAACATGGCTGTGGAGATTGCCCAACAAGCTCAGTCGAATGTTTTAAAGTTTCTTTGTGGTGCTCTTAGGAGTGATGAGACGTTGAGATATCGAGTTGCTGTCCCTAGGACAGATTTTGTCGAGCTCCTTGCCATCGATGACCATGTAGGGATTCAAAAGTTGCCTATTTCCCAGATCCGTGAAAAACCCCCTCTCAGGGATACGGAAGTGTTTGCGAAGGCTTCTTTGGCTTACAAGAAAGTCGGCTTGATCCAACAGGAAAAGAAGCAACGTAGGGATGAGACCTCTGGAATTATCCTCGGTGCTGATTTCGACGGTTTAGCTGGTCGGGTCATGGCTCCTCGAAGCCGTATTGCGTTGCTGTCCCTGGTGTCCATGGCAATTGTTCACAAAGGTACTTGCACCAATCGGCTACTTTCTATGGTGGTGGGTTGTTGGATCCACGTTTTGCTTTTTAGGCGACCCCTTTTTGCCATCATGAGCAGTGTCTTCAACGAGGGGAAGGGTAGATCACAAGATGAAGTGTTTTGCCTGAGGCGACAAACTTTGTGTGAGCTCCAACTGTTGGCATCCTTGGGCTGTATGGCTCAGAGCGACACGCGAGCAAGACATGATCCAAAGGTGTACTGCACTGACGCTTCGCCAGCCGGCGGGGCAGTTTGCTATGCTTATCTGGGCGGTCATGCGTCTAAAGAATTTGGGCGGCACACTGAGCAACGTGAAGAACTTGGCTCCCAAGCTTTTGTTTCAGAACCCATTAAGCCTTCATCCAGCTGTGTTCCCACTTCTTTTAATATCCCACCGCCGCTCGCTGAAGGATTTGTTTTTGACTGTTGTGAAATTTTTCGAGGTAGCGGAAACTGGTCCACTGCACACAGTGAAGTAGGTTTGCAGTGCCATGACGGCGTCGATTTTGATGGCCGTCGTCTGCGTTGTTCTGCCCTGCAAGCTGATGCCGTCGTTCGCGAGCTAATCAGCCTGGCATGCAGAGGAGTTGTTCGCCAGTGGCACGCTGGAGTGCCTTGTGTGAGTTATGGCACTTTCCGCCGACCTCAGGTGAGTTCAAATGAGTTTCCGTACGGGTTCAACCCAGAAGACCCATTCACCAAATATCACAACAAGTTAGCGCAACGTACTTGCTTCATTCTCATGATTGCAGTGTTTTCAGGGTCTTATATCAGTGTGGAGCAGCCGCGCGACAGCCGATTGTTTCTTCTGCACTGCTATCGACAATTGCTGCGCCTCGGTTGTGTGATATCTCATTTTTCGTTTTGCAGCTTTGGAAGTGCTTTCCACAAGCCATCAAAGTGGCTGCGCAACAAACCCTGGCTGATAAACCTAGAATCTAAATGCACTTGCAGGCATAAAGGTGGACATTTCAAAACTGAGGGGTTATTCACTCTTGAAGGCATCTTAGCTTTCGAAGAACGCTGCCAACCATCCGCAACCGCTGTGTATACTGAGCCGCCAGAGGTGGGTCAATCTGTGGCTGCGTACTCGGCCGCCTATCCACTGCCTCTGGTCCGAGGTATGGCTTTGGGTTCCTTGGCAGCCAAAAACGGGTGCGTTGAAATCATTCCCAGCGAAGTTCGAGCGCGCAGTTTTGCTGAGGTGGATGAACCGGTGGATAATTATGCCCACTTTTTTTTGCCCGCAGAGCCTGCAAAACCTCGAGAATGGTTTGAAGAACCAGAGTGGATCAGTGAAGTCATGAACTCATGTGAATTTCGAGAGCTGTTCCGATTCAAATTTAAATCACCTGGTCACATCAATGTTAATGAGACCCGAACCTGTAAATCCTGGATCAAATCTATGGCTAAGAGTAGTCCTGATACCAGATTTGTTGGGTTTTTGGATAGCCGGGTAACCATCGGTGCCCTGCTAAGGGCAGATCTAGCGGTTTTGCCATCAGCCGAGTGCTTCAGGGCACGCTACCCTACATCATTGGAGGAGGCTTGTTTCCTGGGTGTTTGCACTGCTATAGTGCCGACAACCGTGCAGATGATCCATCGAGGGATCGTCCAGTTCAAGCCCCAACCAAAGAGTTGCCTGAGTGGCTCTGCAGATTGCAGGGTGGGGACAGCAGCCTTTTTGACTTGGTTGTTGAATCCAGCCGCGTCCCAAAGCTTTGCGGCCGATGGTTAAGATTTTTGCTGCTGCTTGGAGGTGACATTGAACGCAATCCTGGACCGAGAGGAGACCGAGTTCCTCGAGGCCCTCTGGACTTGACCACTGGCTTTGCTGCTGTGACTGTAGATAGGATGAAGCGCTGTGTTGATGGATTCCAAGCTTGGGTTGAAGAAGAAGCTCAGCTGACTTGGTCAAGCCTTGTCAAAGATCCTCATGCAACCTGTCTGGCGTTACGTGGGTATGGTTTATACTGTTTTGAAGCTGGCTTGCCAAGATATCTTTTCGTCTACGCACTTACCGGGATTCAGGAACTGTATCCACTATGTAGGCAGTTTATGTCATTAGCTTGGCAGATTGACAAAAAGTGGCAGATTCACGAGCCAGGGACGTGCCGACCGGTACTTCCACCGGTCGTCATCAGAGCTTCAATCACCTTGGCTTTGCTGTGGCAATGGCCAGGTTGGCTGCAATAGTCCTTTTAGGCTTTGATGCCATGCTGCATCCTTCTGAAATGATGGCGCCTCAGCGGAGAGATTTGATTTTTCCATCTGACGTTTGTTTTGATAGTGCAAGTCTGTTTATAAAGATTCTCGAACCAAAGACAGCTCGATTTGCTCGCAGACAACACGGTCGCATTGACGACCCTGTGATCATTGAGGTAGCGCAGAGAGTTTTTGGTTCATTAGAAGCGGACAACAAACTGTTTCCTGGATCACTGGATCTATCAATACTTTCCGCAAACAATGGAACTCAATCATGCAATCTCTTGGTGTGCCACATTCACAGCTTCAACAAGGCGCAACACCTGGAGTTCTCCGGGGCTCCGGAGCAACCTACCTCTACACCACATCGGAGGACGTGAGCTGGGTTGCCTGGCGCGGTCTTTGGTCGCGTGTGCATACGTTGGAATACTACCTCCAAGAGGTGGGTGCTTTTGTGCTCATCCATAGTCTCAAGCCTTTGGCCAAAGCAAAAATTTTTGAGCTTTCCAAGTTTTCCTGGCCTGTCATCCGTCAGACATTTGACCTTACGGGGTAGCGTTGGATAGTTGGAGTGATTCTTTACGGGGTAGCGTTGGATAGTTGGAGTGATTCTTTGTTGATTGCAAAGCTGCTTTAGATTCAGTGGACCACTACTCAGTGGTTCTTTCTGCGTTGTTGAGTGGCTACGCTACTTCATGGAAGAGCTCTTCAGATTGTATGTCTGACGCCTCTCCTAAGATGGGGGTTGATTGATGTCATGCCAGGGAAGCTTCGTCTCAGCAGGTGGAAAAGTGATATATATATATACATATATTTATATATTTAACCAGGCTAACGCCTGGCAGCCGCCGACCCCCAGGGAAGTGGATGGCCTAGTCACTGCGTCACCAAAGTAGGCAGAAGAGAGCACGGCAAATGGGTTAGCATTTTCTTTGAACATCTGGGAACGCAAAAAAAACACGGAGCCCCTAGACAACGACAGAACTATCTAGAAAAACCAGAGAAAATCCTGGAAAAACCCTCGCAAAAGGCATGAAAGGCATGAGTAAAGCTTAGAAAAACCTTCGAAAATCATAGAAATCCAGCGGAAAACGTTTGCAAATGGAGGAAAATGGGCTAGCATTTTTCATTGCAAATCTGGGAACCCAAAAAACAACACGGAGCCTTTACAAGTACCTAGAGAAACCAGAGGACATGCTGGAAAACACCCTCGCAAAAGGTCTGAAAGGAATGAGTAAATCTTACAAAAACGTTTGAAAATCCTAGAAATCCAACGGAAAACGTTGCAAAATCTGAGAAAAATCAAAGGCACTGGCAGGGACCAGGCCGCGACCAGCCCGGGATTCGAGCCCGGGACCATTTAGGGACCGTGCTTATTTTCCCACGCGGTTTGAGAGGGTGCCCCAAGATATAATCAATTGGGATGGAGAAATCTTGGACAACTCTTGGAGAAATCTTGGAGAAATCTTGGCATATTTCGGCAGATTTCGTCACTGCAACAAGGGCCCGGAGGGGTAGGGGAGGTAAGGCCAAGGCTAAGGACTAAGGATAAGGCTAAGGCTATCAATCAACAGTCACGCCTCACCCCGGTCGGCGGATTCATATTATAGAATCGGGAAACTAAGATGATCCGATTTGATACGTCAACGCCTCGTGTTGTCTCCTTCGGGGTCCAACCACTGTGTGTGAGCTCCGGATGCTTTTACCAGGGCGGGCGAAATTGGCTATAAACAGGTCTACTGCTTTCTATGGAATGGCCACCTCATCCAAAACCCCCACAGAGGCCCCATCATCTCCGCTTCCCAACCCTTTTATGGCATTTCTCTCCAAGCCATGCAATGGGTCATTAACATGGAAACTCTCTGGCGGCCTTTTTTCCTCCACCGTCCTTGGTCACCAGGCCGACTCTTGCAACTCTTGGTGCGCCAGCGGCAACTGGACATCCAAGGCGTGCATGCCCCGATTTCATAGGTCGGACCAGGAGAGTTCTATTTAGTTTGTGGTGGGAATGGGTGCACTACCGAGCACAGGGAAGCAATCCAAAGAAGGCAGATTCCGCAGAACTCACTCATTTGGACAAGAAACAAGTCCTTGCAACAAATTTGTTGCAGCCTGTGGGTCACTTCGATTCGCTTGGAAGATCACTTCCAAGATATCGGGTCAGGAGTTTCTGATCATTCGGCAATCAACTCGATGAGTCTGAGTACGTGGCAGATTGACCACACAGATTTGAGACACACTTCACTTAGTATACTTTTAAGCATGTTGTAGCATTATAGCAGAGATCTTATGGACAGGTGACAGGTCTAATCGATTTGGCATGTGTGTTAGCTCTCCATTCCTAGTCATCCATCGCCAGTCAATCGAATAAATGATGACTGTAATCCTTGACATCTACGGTCAGGTTTGTCGGGTAGATAAACTATACACAGCTAGTTGCATGGTTCATTTTCTAGGTGTTATTTGTGCAGGGACTTGTTCTTGTTGTGGTAGTTGTAGTTGTTAACCACCATTGCAGTCCAGTCTAAACTTTGAAAGAGAAATCTCTAGGTCCACTTGGAGCCATTTGACAGCAACGGACAGGTGCCATCTTCCACAAAGCGACCGGAAAGGTGGATTTCCTGGGGCGTTTGCCACATGAAGATCAACTCCTTCTTCCTTGAGAACAAACTCGATCTCAGCTCTGAGCGTCATGTCAAGACAAGAACTCAGAGGGTAGGGATTGGGTACGAAGGCATCTTGAAGAGGAATGCTGTTTTTGGCTACGGACTCCATTAAAAAAACTCAATTGCTTTAAGCAACATCTCATGATCCCTCGGGCAGTCAATCTACTGCAAGTTCTGCTTGAGACAAGGATTCTTTCTCCCTCTCCAAGATGAGGAGAAGACCGGCCTTCTCTCTCTCTAAGATGAGGAGAAGACTGGCTCGGGCCAATTTTTTGAAGATAAGGCTTTTCTCAATACTGGCGCAATTGGTCTGCGTCTCTTGATTTCCTTGCTGGAAGACCAGCATTGAGACAGGAAGACCAACTTGGAGAACTTTAAGTTTGGCTCACATTTTCCAGGAGTGGCTCCAGGATGTCTTTTGTTGCTGTGGGAAAGCTTGTGCAGGGGAGAGTAGACAATATGTGCAGCCTTCCTAGAACCAAGCAATCATTCAACTACACAACGTTGCCTAACCACTGTGAGTCAAGAAACATGCCAGCTGAGATAGCAGAACAGGGAACTCATTTCAGCAGGAAACCATGTCTAGCCGATCTGCCACGTTGTTGAACAAATGACAGACCTTCCTACTCTCAGTATCCCATGTTGATGATTATGGCCCCCTGGCCCTAGTCGGCCTATTCGCCCAGGAAGCAGGGAAGCTAATCACTGAGCATGCTCACTGGTTGCAAGGGCTTTGCTACGTTCATGTTAGTACTATTCTTGCTTTGCAGCCTCACACGATGCTTACAATCCAGCATCACGCTACCCGTACACTTTTTGCATGTCATCCAACAGTATCTGGCACGCATGGGACATCTCCCAGCGACCAAGTCTTAGGGGGAAGTCATCCCGCCCAACCCTTCTTCTTTTTCGCGTTTCGATGATCGCGTCGGCTCCGCCCACAGTCATCCCGCCCTTTTGAACCTGGACATCCACTCCGAGCCAAGAGCCACTAACACGTCGGGCGAAAGCCACCACAAAGGATCGACATGTCGCTCCGGAGCGCCGAGTTCGGAATGGGCGGACCCGGTGGATCGACCAGAGATTGTCTTCGAAGGGGATCTCAGTAAGGATGATCTCCGTAAGGTTGGAGGTTGGGTGCACATCATCAACTTCTTTGTGGAGTTGTGATTTTGGGTTGTCGACACGGCTCAAAACTGTCGCACTTGCCTCGCAACGAGCTAAATGAGAGGGTTGACCTGGTCAGTTGACCCTCTTTGTTCGGAGGATCCCACCTCTTCAAGAAGCAGGAAGTAAGAGAACCTCGTTGTGACAACTGGTGACATTTCAAGAGACCACTGGTGGAACAGAACAGCCAGGGACTAGTGGAGGTGCGATGACCTCGGACCCCCCCTTCCACCTCTTGGCTCAGTTTGGCGGTCATCTCTTCGGGTCGTGCGCCGTCCCACATGAGCAAACCAAATGTTTGTGGTTCAACACAAGCTAAATGCTCTTGGTCCACATCTATAGCTCAACCTGCCGAAGTTGGTGGGATCCTGAAGGCCAGATGTGCACAATGGCTGTTTTTTTTTTTTTTTAAGATTGCGCTGAGCTTTGCAGCCACCCTTTCCTTCTCATGAGGCTTACTGCCGCTGAGCAACAGATCAACAAACAGACTGAACTGCAAAATAGGTACTGTACGTAATCATGCTTCCAGAGTCACTCAACCAATCGCTTGCAGAGTGGTGTTTCACAGTGGCACAGTCTACAGTCACACATGCCACAGATTTGAAGCAAAGCCCAGGCGGCCTAGGCCATCAAGCAGGACTCATCTCATTCCAAGAAATTGTGCGATGCAGCGAGACATCGAGATGTCTGCAGTGGAGGCGAAGCTGGTGGAGCTGGAGGGAAGAGGGGGTGAATCGGGGCTGAGACAGACCGCAGAATTGCTGCTAAAGACCACCTTGAGAGTCAATTCTGAAGAGTCTTTACTAAGGACTACTTATGACCTGGCTTTTTGTTCACGTCGATGTTATTCGTAGCAAGTTGAAACAAATGACCTCAATATAAGTTTCTTTATCTTCAACTCTTTGATCATTATTGAACCACGAGGAATGAGGCAACCAATGGTCCTCAAGACCAAAACCCTAGTGTCAGATCACCCTGGATCCTAGGGCAGTAACATTGGTGCGGAGCTTCGAGCGGATCGATCGCATCGTCCAGGATCGTCTCCCTGACCGGGTCGCACTCCGCGCCCCTGCACAAGAATCCATCGATGTAGAGGCGTCAGGGGAGGAGAGGCGAAGGAAGCTCCAGGGCGAAAAGTGTCTAATAAAGTAAAACCAACTGTAAGCAGGCGCATGGCATTGTAGGACTAGGATGGACTAGAGCACTACTATAATTACAAGAATACCTACGTAAGTATATATAAGTCTCAAGTGTTTAAACTCTGCAGGTTCAATGAAAGTCTTGGGTGTTCGACTTCCAGAACTGTAAGCAGCAGAACCTCAAGCGGCTACATGCTGCTGTAAAGTCAAAATGGAATCCGAGAGGATCCAAGTGAGGCTGGAAGACCCACAAGCCAGTGCCAGTGGGTTTGAAGACCTTTCATTTTCCTCTACGAACCAGTTTTTGTCCACTGATAGAAGGTCATGGGAGAAGCAAGGGAGGGTGGTCAACACTGGAAACCCGTTAAGGGAACCTGTCATAGCATCTCGGACCAAAAGCACCAGTGTTCCTTTTGTGGAGGGGCTTTTATTTGGACCCAATCCGTCGATCTAGGATTTGGTTACAGTATATCATATCTTTCCTTGCGCCGAAACAGGATTTGTTTCACTTGGTTCAATCCTTGGCTTGACTCGTCATGCCGCCCGGATCAAAGGGATTCACTTAACTCACCTCATTGACTGGCCAGGTTGGAAGGATAAGAGAGGCCAGCTGGGAAGTTGGACGCTGCATCAGATGGGAAAACTCTTCTCAGATGGGAGTTTTACAAGCTACATACAGCAGACCACTTAAAGTGGATCCACTGTGTGAGGTCGTCTGTGGACACTTGGTTGCTGTCGATGTCCACAATTTCTTCAGCCCTGCTGCATCGTCTCCCCTTCCAAGACAACTGCGACCAGTTTCGCCAGAGCAAGGTGGAATCTTCCGAAGAGACGTGCTGGTCCAAGGCCTGTCCCAATTGTAGACCTGCCTTTCAAGAAGGCCGACCGGGTTGGTAGATTGGAAGGATGGCAGTGTTTCAGAAAGGAAAAGAGCTGGCTGGTTTCAGTTTCAACATGTTTCAACTTTAGCTCATAGTCCAATGTGGCTGATGTGAAGCAGTGTGATAGCCCTTCTTAGAGGGTGTCCTTGCCGTTGCTACAAACAGAGGTGACTGACATGACCGACATGTGTAAGATCAGGTCACTACATTAACATGAGCATCCCTGGGTCCCAACTGCCCTGTGACACACTGGGGAGTTGATAATGCAGAGGCAGGAATTTGCTGGAGGAACCCTGCAGCCATCATCCCTTTTCTTGGAATCATCCGAGTATATCCGAGTCCTGCTGAGAATGTATATAGAATTTGAACAACATTTTGGCCAGCCATGCACCAGGGGTCATCCACGTACATTACTTTGATCAGCTTGTGTTCGAATCAGATGTTGCCTCCTTGTTGGTTGAACTAGAAAAGCAAATGAGTGGAAGCAACTGCAGGAGAGGGGCTCCAGTATAGGAGCAAGATCTTATCAATGATATCAATATCAATCAATGATTGTAATTCTCTGTGGATCTAACCACTGACGCCCCATCAGCTGGCAAGGCTTTGAGCTATCAGCCTGTTCGGCGGGCTGCACCTGTGGATACCTGGTATTGCCGCTAAAGCACTTGTTGTGTTTCCCCCAAAGGCTACTTGCCGATAGAAAAGGTTGCAACAATCCTCAAGTATGATTTCTGATTCTTATTTTGGGATCAGTATGGAAGGAAGCATGTTTCCTGAAGTCATTGATGCTGAAAGGACATTTGCCTCCTGATAAGTGTTTTGTTGGGAGTCATACAAAAAGACCAGTAGCTTCAGATGATGTTTTTCTTTCAGGTCCCTCATCAGCAACTCCAAGGATGGCTTTGCTTACCAATCCACCTGGCCTTTGGCTGTTGTAAGGGTCTTCTTTGTGGCCGTCTCCGGCGGCATTTTCCAGCACCTCAGAGCGAGTAAGTTTTCTGGGCTCCTCCAGTGGTATTTTTTAAACTTCCGTTCATGTTCTGTGACGGGATTTGAAGATATTCGACGCTTTTTCCATTCTTTTCCCGCTCCACTTGGACACTTGGCCACTTCGCAAGGAATGGAGTTGGAGTTACTACATCGGATTGCAGGCGCTCGACCGATGGGTGCTCTGTGCCAATCGCAGCATCGACCGATTTAGACCGTCCCATCATTCATCGGTGGGTGTAGGCCCCATTTTTTTTGTCAAAGAACCCGGTTTCTCACATTGGTTGGCAACTGGATGACAGGATGCATGACTGTAATCTGAGCACACTGGAAAGGCACTGTAAGACCACCATTTCGTGGTGAACCATGCGACGGGCGCCCCACCGAATCGTCCGTGCGGCCGCTGTAGCGGGCGTTCGTGCTCAAACGCGGCGCAGATCATGAAGAGCTTGGCGTCGAATGTGCCGTATCGGAACCTCTACGCCGTTCAGGCGGAGCGAAGTGGCGGAGGGGTGGGGGGTGGGGCCGGAGTGCCGGCCGGAGGGTTCGGGTCTCAGTTTAAGAGGGAGGTGCACAGAGCGAGTGGAGCGTCTTTGTTGCGTGGTGGGTCTCCAGGAGCGAGTGGAGGTTTGGTCATTGAAGACTGGTGGTTTTGGGGCCCAAGTTTTCCCCCCAAAGCCATTGTCAGTAGGGAAAACATCCAGTAGTGAAGGAAAAGATGGACTGAATTTAACTGGTTTTGTTTCCCGTGTTCAGGGTTTTGGTTTTGCACTTGACCTGCCTGCAAGAGTGACTGAAGTCTGGACACCAGTGTATAATCTGTTCATATACTTTCAATAAGTGGATTGGTATTCACTGAGACACCACTGGATTGCCAAGAAAATGCTGGCATTGCCCCTGAACCGGTGGACAGGGAGCGAACTGAGCGAACCGGATGAGCGGACCGGGGCTGGCCAGGTGTTGACCGATGCGCCGATGCCAACGCCCATCATTCCGCCGGAGCTCACGGTGCGTCAGGTCTCTGAAGGAAATGCCGCTTTGGCAGAAAGCGGTGCTGAGTGCAGGTGGTGTTTTCTCTCTGGTCTCTCTCTCTCTATCTACATTGTACGTATTGTATGTGTTATTTTAATAGTCTATAGTGTTTACTTTTGTTTATAGAAAGATGGATACAGAAAGGTGGAGAGTCGAGATGCATGTTTTGATTTGTGATCATGTCCACCACTTGGTTGTTGCACCGACTTGAGGCTATATATATTGAGATTTTTTACTTTCTGCCATTCGTTCTTGTTGGGAGCGTGTCATTATGGCCGAGCGCTCTTATCAACGCTCTCCCCAGTGGCCGCCACTGTGTTCGCATAGTGCACTCTTTTGTGCCTTGCATAGCAACTGCAACATATGTAGCAAGGAATGCTCCTACTAGAGGCTCCTGGCATCGCTACTAGGAGCATGGACGCTACTAGGGGCTCCTGGCCTTACTACTAGGAACAAGAAGCTGCTAGAGCCGGGACCGCGCCAGGTCCGCGGTGAGTGGACCGAACCAACGAAGCTGCAAACAGCCAAGAGACTTGGCCGCGGTGGGCTGCAGTTCCTAGCCTAGACGCTGAGGAGAACAAGCTGATTTCCAAGGTTGGAAATGGGAGGATGTGGAATGTGTCTAGTTGTATGGCTGGAAGTAGGTAAATGTCATTTAGAAACAGTTATGTAATGTTATGTATGTCATTCAGAGGTTCTGGGGCTCATTTCTTTCTTCACGTGGCTTCATGCCGTTCTGCCAAGAAAACATCCATGAACTACCACATGGTGGCTGGTGATTTAGGGATCCACACACTTCCAGTTGAAAGGTGGTTTGGACAAGTGCAACATCAGTTCGTACCTGGTCCTTCTACTGGGCTACTTGAAAGACTTTCACCAACTGCACCCCTCCCCACTCACTTCTTGGCAGTGCACCTCCGGGGGGGTACCTCAGTTGGGGTTCAGATAATCCGAAATGGGCTCTCGGCCCAAAAGCCATGCTTTTGGAGGTTCATTGAATACCAGTAATGCACTTGTTGCTAGTAGCGATGCCCTTTGCTCCTACTAGCTCCTTGTTACTAGTAGCGATGCCAGGAGCGCCCCTACTAGTAGCGTCCGATCGCTCTGTTCGTAGCGATGCCCTTTAAACCTCAGAGGTCAGAGTTGGGGAAGTCTGCCGAAGCCACGAGGACGCTCGTCTACTTTCATGGTGGCGCTTTTGTTCTGTGCCGCGCGCGGACCGAGCGCATGATTGTGGGGAATCTCGTTGCTTGGTCTTGCAGTTCAGACTCTCCAAAGGCAATCGGCGGTGTGGTGGTATTGGTTGGGATATTCACCGATGAGGAAATGGGGATTGTGTACCCCAAGACATGAGCTGGACAGAATTAGATATGTTCTGCCTGGAGGCTACTTACTGGGGCTCTTCTTGAGCGATTGAATTTAGGAGGCAGGTCAGAGCTCTTCACTGCACGTGCGGCCCCAAAACACGTGTATGCCACGGTGCTGCCTAGGTCTTAGGAGACTCCCAGACTTTTGGAGACCTGTGGGCAAAGGGATGAAGGAGCAAGACATAGCAAGACCCATTGGTGCAAATCCCGGTTTTGATACACACCCAAATCAAGAATATACGCTGCAATAATTAGGCGTTTCTTACATGATTCAGAGACGCCATACCAGAAGTAAAGACGCCATACCAGTATGGGCAGAAGAAAGCAGGTCATCAACAAGGTCCCTACTGTGCAAGAGTGGGAAACGTTGTTGGTTCAACATACTGAATGTTTTTGTGGTACTGTTTTCGGTCTTTCGTTATTTTTCTTGTGTTTCAGGTAGTCGACTAGCCCGGATCGACCCCTCGAAGTCCCCATGCACCACCCAGAAAGCAAGAGGGTGTTTGTTACTTCGACCGTCATTGAACTCAGCAGCTTTTACATATTATGGCTATTGTGGACCACTCTCTCAGTGCCTTTTTGACAACACTAGAAGTTAAAACTGGCTACGACATGCTCATGATGTTAGTATTCAACCCGGCAGGCTCTTATGACGCAGATGTGGCCGGTGGCAAACATCAATGGGAGAAGTCCTGCGTCGCTTTAACATAGAATGTAACTGAATGATCAGAATGCAGCCTAAATTACTTAGTAATTACATCTCTTTACATGAGGTTCTAGATTCGGTTTGAACCTGTTCTGCGAAAACCTTTGTTACACCTGCTTTTCAGACCTTCGGACTTGGAATTGCGGAGCCTGAGGTCAAAGCTTTGGGAAGCTTGGGATGCAAAGAAACGGAACGGAATTTTTGTTGGGAGACGAAATCAGATGTGATGGTTACTGTAACTGTAGGATCCGATCGTGGTGTTTCATCCGATCGTTTCAGGTAGACCACCCGTAGTCTTTACACCTCATTGCCGGGTTTGAGACTGACCGGAAGTCGTCAGATTGCTTCCCTGATCTTCCCTGTTTGTCCCATGCATCTATCTGACAGAAGGCGGAAATGCATCAGGGATCTCATAAAACAGTTGTTCTTTGTTTTGTTTGCAGAATGGTCTTCACGATTTGACCAGACAACTCCACACAATCACACATGGCCCCACAATTGACTGACCTATGTTGACCTGTTTTTGCCATTCCCGGCAGCAACCTTTCCTCCTAGTTGCAAGTGATTCAAGTGATGGTGGCCCAACCGCAGCCTTCCCGCTCGGCTCCAATAACAAAATCAACACACCATCCAATTGCCAAAAGTCAAGTTAGACGAACTCCCAGCACTTTGGGTCAGTCGGCCAGTCGCTCTAAGAATCTGGCGACCACCTCCGTGGAATTTTTCAACGCAGATATCCACTCAACATCACTCAACCCATTGCAGTCCCAACTATTCAAGGAGATTTCATCGCCTTACGTGCAGTGGCACCAGCAGAACCATGGTCGTGCACTGTACACTTGTCAGGAGGCTGTCGCGCCTTCAACGTGGATTACCCGAAGCCACCTCACAGTCCTTTCCCGGCTGCCCTGGAGAACGTCTCTGGGCGGCCATGGCGAAGATGTGTGGCGATGTGGCGCCGTACAGTTCTACACGGTGTTTTTTGTTTACTAGCAGTAACAAGTGCCACGCTAGTAGTAACAGGTGCCTTACTAGTAGTAACAAAAAGCTAGTAGTAACAAGTGCCTTACTAGTAGACAGGAGCGCCCCTAGTAGCGTCCTTGCTCCGTTCGTAGAAATGCTCTGTGCTACTAGTAGACGATGGCCTCCACCGAGTATAGCGTTTGGACCACGTCTCGAGGCGCCATACGGCAACGTCAAAGGCGTGGTGGGGACACCGAGGCATTGGAAGTCTGGGATTGGCTCCTCGCACAAGGCATCCGCCCAGAGGAGAGGGCAGTCTTTGAGCATTGACTGTGTTGGTTGGGATGGATTTGGAGATTTTGTTGATATATTGTCGAGTGGTTAAAGCATGTTAAAGCTGTTTACTTTTACTGACTTCTAGTGGCTGCAGGCATCGACAAACTGGAAGCTAAGACAAGTCAAGGCACAACTGTAAAGCCAGCAAAAACCAACATTGACGTTTGACGTTGAGGTGTACAAACAGGCAAGGGTTGCCAAGTGGAAGCAAATACAGGGGGTGGTACCATTGAAGTGACGAACTGATCACAGTGATGGCGTGATCCCGGGACAGCCGGCGAGGATGTGGTGGTGTCTGGCGACAGTGCCGGGGGGAACCTCGCATTGTCATTGCTCTTCCGGCTGCAGGCGATGTGCAGGGGATGTCAAGCACAGACTGCAATTGACAGTTTATATAATATATAATATAAGTTTAGACTCTAGACATCTCTAGACCAAGTATATTGTGACGTCAAATAGAGTCGACTATAGTGGCTGTTGCACGAAAACATCTTTCCAAGCTAGAAGGGTTTTACATGCCTTGCTTTCGATGGGCTTTCTTATTCCTGTACAGATGTGCAAACCGACTATGCAACTAATATGTTATATATAATTTAAGGGCTGCCGCCCAGTGCCGCCGACCCCAGGAAGGGAGACAAAAGAGGTGTGGGGCGGACAGAAGGCATGGTGACGCGTGGGTGGTAGCGCAGAACACATGGGGACACCGCGGCGTGCTATGTGGAATCCCCAATGTGAGGAGGGGGCAGGAGGGGGTGCTGCATCGGCTACGTGGAGAGGAGGGGCAGGGAGGGGGTAAGCGTTAGAGATATTAAAGGGGGTGGGGCAGACAGAGGGCATGGTGACTCCACGGTGTGCTGCATCGGCTACGTGGAACCCCCATGTGGATGTTAAGGGGCTGGAGCACGCAGGGACGGGGCCATGGCAGTGTAGACGGGGTGGAGGTAGAGGGTGCAGGCAAGAGGGATGAAGTGGGAGACACAGGAACGGAGTCCCTATGTGTGGAGGTTTACTCGGGGTGGCAGTGGGACATGGTGCCAGTATAGGGTGCAGGCAAGAGATGAAGTAGGTGGTAGGGCAGGCGTGCTGCATCGGCTACGTGGAATCCCCAATGTGAGGGGGGGCAGGGATGGGGTAAGCGTTAGAGATATTGAAGGGGGTGGGGCAGACAGAGGGCATGGTGACTCCACGGTGTGCTGC